AGTCAGAACCCACTCATAGCTACCCCATGCACAGCAGAACGAAACAATGTCCGATCCTGGGCCAACCTCACTACCGCCGCCACACTTGACGCCATCAATGATGCCACCTGATTGATCCATCTCATTAGGGGTCTTCCTCTTTTTCTCTGACCCTTCACCTTACCCAGCACGACATCCTTCTCCAACGACTGTTCCCTCAAGACAATGTGTCCAAAGTATGAGAGACGAAGCTTAGCCATCCTGGCCTCCAAGGAGTACTCTGGTTGTACTTCTTCCAAAACAGATTCATTGGTTCTTTTGGCAGTCCATGGCACTTTCAGTATTCTCCTCCAACACCACAACTCAAAGGCATCAATTCTTCTGCTATCTTCCTTATTCATTGTCCAGCTTTCGCATCCATATGAGGTTATTGAAAATACCATGGCCTGGGTCAGGCTCACCTTAGTCCTCAAGCTGACATCTCTGCTCTTCAGTACTTTAAAAAGTTCCTGTGCAGCAGATTTGCCCAATGCAAATATGTGTGTGTGTGTGTGCGTGTAGCTGTGCTGGACTTAAAGTTAGTTTGAACCACAAGGTTGGTGGTTCAAGCTTATCAAACCACACCTTGGAAATTCTATACAGGGTTGCTATGGATCAGAACCGACTCAACAGCATTTAACATAACATAACACACATATATATGTATATATATGTTGTTGAGATCATTGCTGTTGTTAAGTGCCATCGAGTTGGTTCTGACCCATAGCGACCCTGTATAGAGTTTCTAAGGAGCATCTGGTGAGCTTGAACCACCAACCTTGCAGTTTAAACAGTTTTGTTGTTGTTATTAAGTGCCGTCGAGTTGGTTCTTACCCATAACGGCTCTGTATAGGGTTTCCAAGGAGTGGCTGGTGAGCTTCAACTGCCGACCCTGCAGTTCAAACGGCGTATTAACCCACAGCACTACATCAGTACTATCAAATCAGTTCTGACTCACAATGACCTTGTATAGGGTTTCCGAGAAGTGTCTGGTAGATTCAAATTACTGACCTTTCAGTTAGAAGTCCAGTGCTTATCCTACCCACCAGGACTCATATACATATATGAGTGCAGATGTTAGCACTTGTTATATATATAACAAGTCCTTAACAGCTACATATATATATGTAGTTGTTAAGTGCCATCAAATTGATTCCAACTCATATCGACCCTGATTAGGGTTTCTGAGAAATGGCTGGTGGGTTTGAACCACTGACCTTACAGTTAGCAGTCCAGGGCTGAACCAGACCAGGACTCCATATATGTGTGTGTGTGTGTGTGTGTGTGTAAACTCAACATATTATCTGCCTAGCCTATTGATCCAAAAATATATTGTTATTGTTGTTGTTGTGTGCCGTGGAGTTGGTTCCGACTCATAGCGACCCTGTACAGGGTTTCCAAGGCTGTAAATCTTTACAGGAGCAGAAAGCCTCATCTTTCTCCTGCGGAACAGCTGGTAGTTTCGAATTGCTGACTGTGAGGTTAGCAGCCCAATTCATTACCACTACGCTACCAGAGCTCCTTAAAATATATATATATAATATATATATATATTGCTGTTGTCAAGTGTCATCGGTCTATTCCAACTCTTAATGACCCTGTATAGGGTTTCTGAGAAGCAGCTGGTGAGCTTGAACCACCACCCTTGCAGTTCAAAGTGACTTTGCAGTATAGCACATTAACCCACAGCACTACACCAGGACACCAATATATATATATATATACATAGCGACCCTGTATAGGGTTTCCAAGGCATGATTGATGAGCTTGAATTGCTGACCTTGTGGTTCAAACTGACTTTGTAGTCCAGTGCATTAACTCACAGTGCCACACACATACTTGGATTCAATTTGGATATACAATGAATACATTCAATTATGTAATTATATTTGGATTCAATGACTAATATGGGATCCTTGACAAGGAGGGGAGCCAGAAGAAGTTTGTTGGTCTGTTTTCAAATATTTTATTGCATTTTCAGTGAAGGTTTATACAACAGTTTAAGTCCCCATTCAACAATTTCTCCACAAGGTGCTCAATGACCTTGGTTACATGTGTCACAATGCATTTTGTTGCCGTTCTTCTAGTTCCTGGTCTCCTTACAGTCTCATCTTTGATTTAAAGTCACTATTGACTGCTGGGTCTCATATAGGTGGTCTTTTAAAGGGGCACAGTACTTACTAGTGCTTATTTTGTGAGTCCATTGGTCATGTAGCTACAAGGTTGAAGATTTTTTTTTTTAAACAAATGTTTTATTGTGAATTGTGTGATAGTTTACATGGGAGAACATTAGTTTTACATTCATTCTATCATACATCGTTTCATTGGCATAGTTACCATCCCGTCCATGCATCATCACCCAACCAAAGGGTATACCCTGCAAGCTTGCCCCCCCCCACCACACACACACACGGTCCTCAGCACACAGCCCCTCTCCCTCTCTGGGTCTAAAGTCCCCAGCTGCTCCATCTCTTCACGTTATCTTCTCTGCCTCCATCTCAGGTATCACTGCTTCTCTCTGGGTAGGGTCCCGCTCTCTGCTTTTCTCCATTGATGGTCCCAGGGCCTTCCACTCCTAGACTGAAAAGTTAATCACTCCCCTCCTTGCTACAAAATGTCCACTTTTACATTTCCAGTCCTCACAATCAGTCCTGATAACAATTATTCACTATTGCATCACAAGAGACCTATCTGCATTTCATTTCATCAGCCCTTCTTGGACAGGCTGGAAACTATTCACTGGAGACTCTACCTTCCTCCCCACCCTGTGGATCTAGGTTCCCTCTTGAAAGCTTGTAAGCCAGTCACTTCTTACCTTTGTATCCCTCCCCACTGAAGAAATTTTTTGATGAACACTCTTGTCCCATGTTCTGCATTCCACTAAAGACGTCATTCTCTTTCCTCCTAGCTTCAGCCCAGAGGAATGGTCTGCACACCGTGCCCACGGAGATGCAATTTTTCGCCAGCACAGAAGAGTGAGTCCCTGGTGGCATTCATGGAGGAACCTGTCAGTGCTAGAGCCGCAAAGTGGTCAAGACTTCAGTGGCTGCAAGCTATGCTCTTTCCACCCCCGGTTTTTCTCCAAATGACCTAATGTTTAAGTTCCACCATGCAAGGGCCTTTGCTTTGTTGTTGCTGTTGTTACGTGCCATCGAGTCATTTCCGACTCATAGTGATCCTGTATAGAGTTTCCGAGGTTGTAAATTTTTCTGCGGGAGCAGAAAGCCTCATCTTTAACCCAAGGAGCAGCTGGCGGGTTCGAACTACCAGTCTGGTGGTTGACAGTCGGTGCTTATCTTATGGAAAAGTCACCTTGCTCTCTATGGGCCTCTGTGGCTTCCTTTAAAATATGTATAAAAGGTATAGAAAGGGCAACAGACTGCATTAAGTCCCTCAAAAGGTCTGGTGCCCAGTGGCTGAGATGTTGTGCGCCGAGAAGTCCATTCAGATTCACAGGCCTCCAGAGGACAGAATAGAAGAGCTTTGTGGGCAGCCTGCCTTCTATGTGAAGGAAACCCCCATGTAAACAAACAACTGTTTTCCCTGCTGGAGTTCTTTCCAGAGTATCTCTCCCCTCCATCAGAGCCTCCCAGGAGCACAGCTGTAGTTCAGTGACATTGAAGTGATTACTAACTGCAACTCAGGGAGCCAGGGGTGGGGGTGGGGGGAGGGACACGTTAGAACCGAGAAGGGTGAAGCTTCATCTCTCCTACTTGGACATGTCATCAAGAGGAACCAGTCCCTGGAGAAGGACATCTTGCTAGGTAAAAGAGAGGGTTGGTGAAAAAGAGGAAGGCCTTCAATGACTTGTGCTGACGCAGTAGCTGCATCAGTGACTCCAGCATAGCAATGCATGTTGCTGGGGAGGTTGAGAATCGTAGCTGCTTTCCCCTTGAAAGAGGGCATGCGAGAGATCGGGAAAGGGCAGACTACATGGTCAAGGAGTGAAGGAGGAGAGGGGTGCAGAGAGGGTCCTGAGCTCTAAGGGAAAAAACAATCCTATGAGACAATTACAATCCCTCACCCTGTCATGACTTGGAAAGAGTCTCCGGGTGATACAAATAGTTAACACGTTCAACTTCTAACCAAAAGGTTGAAGGTTTGAGTCTACCCAGAGACCCAGAAATGCCTTAAAAGAAAGGTATGATAATCTACTTCCAAAAAACCTCACACAAAACTGTCATTAAAAACCCGATGGAGCAGTTCTACTCTGACACACGTTTGAATCAATTCGATGGAAACTTTTGTTTAATATGATTCAAAACACCTCTTCACATTGACACCATCTGTAATCTTCAATATCCTCTGCATTATGGCAGAGTTGTTAAGACCATGAATTTGAAGTCAGACAGAATCCTGGCTTTTCCACTTACCAGTTGTGTGGTTTGGATAAGTCCCTTAACCTCTCTGAGCCTCAGTTAGGGTTGTTTTGAGAATTACTATGATAAGGTCAATAAAGCAGGGTACCCAAACCATGCAAGTGCAGATGGTTGTTGTTGTGTAAGTACTGTTGAGTCAGTTCTAACTCATAAAGACCCAGGATAGGGTTTCCTAGGAGCAGCTGGTGGATTTGAACCACCAACCTTGTCCTGTGCTCCAGTACAGATGGTAGCGCTTGTTATTAATGTAGCGGTGGTTAAGGAGCACAGCGGGGACTAATGGAACCTGACCATGGCAGTGCTGGGCATTGACCAGTTGTGCTACAGTCTTTCAACAGATATTCACCCAGAGCTGACTACGAGCCTGGTGACACAGTGGCTAAAGCACTCAGCAGTTAGCCAAAAGGTCAGCAGTTCAAGATTCAAGCTTACCAGCTGCTCTTCTGGAGAAAGCTGTGGCTGTCGGCCGCCATAACAACTTGCAGTTTTGGAAAGCTTGTGGGGCAGTTCTAGGGTCACTGTGAGTGGATGACCCTAGAATGGCAGTGGGTTGGGGGCATGATGACTCAGACACTGATCTAGGTGCAGGGGATGCAGCAATGAGCAGACAGAAATCCCAGTCCGGTGACAAGAAATGAATAATGAGTAAAATTCATTGGATACCAGATGGCTGTCAAGTTCCATGGAGGAGAATGAAGCAGGAAAGAGGGATAGAGTGGGGCTAGTGGGTAGGAAAGGGCAGTTTTAAAATCATAATACTTGATGACAGCTAACAAGAAAATAAGCAAAAAGAAAAAGGCATTCAGTGACTTCTGGCAAGATGGCGGACTAGGCAGACGCACTCCACGGACCCTCTATAACACAGGTACAAGAGATCAAATGAAACAGACAGAGATGAAAATCCTGGAACCCTAACTTCCAAGAAAAGTTTGGAGAGGGAGATTGAGTGCTTGCTGGGAGGAGAAGCTGAGCAGGGACTGAGAGAGGTACTGACCAGAGAAAGGCCAGCCAGATGTGGTATGACCACATTGAACTCTGTGAGCAGCTTTGACAACAGAGGGTGGTAGTAGCCTGGCAGAGTAGATTCACACAATTGACAGGAAAGCTGCAATCCCTTCTTTTTACCCATGCTGCCTTGGTGACCAGAGATGTGGCCAACTTCCACTTTCATAAGCCTCCAGTACAAACCCTGTTCTCTGGGAGTTCGGCACCACATGGTTGTGAGCCATGCCAATGTGAGACTGGGGCCAGCAGTGCTGTTTGGTGCCTGGGTTCAGGCAGGCTCAGCTCCAGACATACAGTACTTAAAGAGCCATCAGATCAGCATCAGTCTGACAGAAACCCTCATAACTCTGCTCCCAGCTGCCCTGTGGTCCTAAGAGACTGAAACCAGTTCCATCAGGGTCTCCATGAGCTACTTCTGGACTGAGTGCCTTGAACGTAGATGACACCTAGGCCTATAGGAACTCCTTCTAGGACCAGGACCTCTGCTGTCACATCCCTCCTGCACCCACCTCATGAGCTCCTTGGCTTTCAGGAACCCCCAGAGTTTTCTCCTCTCCAGGTCCAACAGTTGCACTGTTTCTTTTGTTTTGTTCCTTTTTTTCCTTTCATTGTTTCTTCTTTCTTCTTCTTTTCTTTCCATTGCCTCAAATTTTATTCTTTCTATCTCTGCTTTTGGTTTTCCTTCTTTTGTTTGTTTCCCATTTCTCCTCTCCTTTTTCCCTCCTTTTGATCTTTCTGTACTACTCTCTCCTCTCTTGTTTCATCTTGCCTCTCCTTGTTTTTTAAAGTGTTTTAAATTTTTTCTTCCTTGTATTTTTTTCTCTTACATAGTTCCATTTTCCTGCCTTTCTGTTCTAGTTTTAGTTATTATATTTGTATTTTCTGGTTGCTGCCTGATTTTATTTTTGCCCTTATTATTTTCTCTTTTCATTGCCAGCTGCTTGTTTTTTATTCTGTTTTGTTTTCTTTAGTGTATGGGGGGAGCTTTTTCCTATTTCCCACCATACAGGAGACAGCAACCATGCCCATACATCTAAACCACAACCATACCCTCTGAAGCTCCACCCACTGGGAAAGAGCCAATCCCAGATCCTATCCCACCTGAGCCAATGGTGAACGGTGCACACGCTCCCATTCTCTAACTACACCCACAGGAGACAGTTGGTGAGAGCCTAAGAAGACAGCAACATAAAAATCATCAACACCACCACAATGTCCTGAAGACAACAGAGAATTTTAGCTCACACAAAGAAATGTGAGAATGGCTCAAATAAACGATCAAGAGGCAGAGCCAGAAAATGTTTCTGAGGAAGAAAAGGTAATGGAAATAACTGAAAAAGAATTCAAAACAATGATATCTGGGTACCTTCAAAGGATTGACAGAACGATTGAGGAAAATACAGAAAAAAGGTTAGAAGAATTCAGGAAGACACTTCAAAAATAAACAGACAAAATAAATGCAAATATTGGAACAATACACATCCTGGATTAGAAATCTAAGATTTCAGAAATGGGCAATACACAGAAATGACAAAGGAGTGTAGATTCAAGGAAATGAAAGTCCAAATTAGTGCTCTTGAAGACAAATATCTCAATATTAATATGCTAGAAGAATAATCAGAAAAAAAGAATGAAAATATCTGAGGAAAACATAAGAGTTATGTGGGACATCATGAAGAGGAATAACTTACAGGTGATTGGAATTCCAGAATAGGAAGAGACATTAAAAAGCACAGAGAAAATTATTAAAGAATTGTTGAAAGAAAACTTCCCTAACATCATGGAAGATGAGAAAATAGACACCCAAGAAGCTGAGTGAACCCCAAACAGGATAGATCTCTAAAGAAAATCACCAACATATATCATAATCAAAATTTCCAAAACCAAAGACAAGAAAAGAATACTAAGAGCAAGCTGGGAAAAACGGAAAGTTACCTACAAAGGAGAATAAATAAGACTAAGCTCTGATTTCTCAGCAGAAATCATGCATGCAAGAAGTCAGTGGGATGATATGTATACAAAACTTTGAAAGGAAAAAAATTGCCAACCAAGAATCATGTCCCTCAAACATGGTGGTAAAAATAGGACATTTTCAGAGAAACAGAAGTTAAAGGAATTAATATTAACTAGACCAACTTTGCAAAAAAGTACTAAAGGGTGTTCTTTGAACGGAGAACCAACAACAGTAGACAACAACACCCAGAACTCAATCCAGATATGTTGTTGTTTTTTTAAGTGCCGTCGAGTTGATTCCAACTCATAGTGATCCTGTATAGGGTTTCCAAGGAGTACCTGGTGGACTTGAACTGCCAATCTTGTGGATCACAGTCCAGTGCTGATCCTATGGTGCCACACCGAGTCCATTCCAGATACAGAAGTATTTAAAGTAAAACAAATCTACAAGACTGAAAATGTTGTTGTTGTTGTCAGGTGCCATCGAGTAGGAACCAACTCATAGCGACCCCATGCACAGCAGAACGAAACAATGTCCGATCCTGGGCCAACCTCACTACCGCTGCCACACTTGAGTCCATCAATGAAGCCACCTGGCCAATCCATCTCATTAGGGGTCTTCCTCTTTTTCTCTGACCCTCCACCTTACCCAGCATGACATCCTTCTCCAGCGACTGTTCCCTCCGGACAATATGTCCAAAGTATGAGAGACGAAGCTTAGCCATCCTGGCCTCCAAGGAGCACTCTGGCTGCACTTCTTCCAAAACAGATCTATTGGTTCTTTTGGAAGTCCATGGCACTTTCAGTATTCTCCTCCAACACCACAATTCAAAGGCCTCAATTCTTCTACGCTCTTCCTTATTCACTGTCCAGCTTTCGCATCCATATGAGGTTATTGAAAATACCATGGCTTGGGTCAGGCACACCTTAGTCCTCAAGCTGACATCTCTGCTCTTCAACACTTTAAAAAGTCCCTGTGCAGCAGATTTACCTAATGCAATACGTCGTCTGATCTCTTGACTGCTGCTTCCGCGAATGTTGATAGTTGATCCAAGAAGAATGAAGTCCGTGACAACTTCAATCTTTTCTCCATTGATAAGAATGTTGTTTATTGGTCCAGTGGTGAGGATTTTTGTTTTCTTGACATTGAGATGCAATCCATACCAAATAGGGAACCAGAAATATCAATTTATAATGAAGTCAACTACACAGCAAAAAGAGAGAATAGTGTAGATACAGAATTTCCAAATGACAAGGAAATCAAGTAGATTTTAAGATATATCAGCCTGTTTTAAATTGGGGAAAAAATTAGTAAGTTATAGGGTAACCTCAAAGAACATTAACAAAATAAAATGAACTCAGCATAGAAAATTATGTGGAATAAAGTAATCAGCAGTACCACACACACACACACAAAGAAAAAACCAAAACCACACACACAAAATGACAGAATCAATTCATATGTATTGATATTTATACTGAATGTAAATGAATTAAATGCACCAGTCAAGAAACAGAGAATATCAGAATGAATATCAAAATGGTAGTGGTGGTGGTGGTGGTTATGTGTTATGGAGTAGGTTCCTACTCATATAGACCCTGTATAGGGTTTCCGAGGCTGTAAATCTTGACGGGAGCAGAATGCCTCATCTTTCTCCCACAGAGCTGCTGGTAGTTTCGAACTGCTGAACTCGAGATTAGCAGCCTGATTCATAACCACTACGCTACCAGAGCTCCTTGAATAAGAAAAATAGGATCCTTGAATATGTCATCTACAAGAGACAAAATCAAATGATGAAGGGAGCCTAAATGCCCATCAACAGAAGAATGATTAAACAAACTTTGGTGCATACACACAACAGAATACTCCCCAGTGTTGAAGAATAATGATGAATCTGCAAAACACTTCACAGCATGGATGAACCTGGAGGACATTAAGTTGAGCGAAATTAGTCAATCACAAAAAGACATATATTGTTTGATATCACTGTTGTAAAACATTAAAAGAAGGTTTTCTTGATAAAAGAAACCTACTATGATGGTTATGGTGGGGACAGGAAGGAAGGGAGGGAAAATTATTCACAGGCTATAGCGTAGACACGTGTTAACATGGGTGATGAGGAAGACAATGTATGAGAGAAGTTGGCATAGGAAAGATGAAGACAGTGGGAAACACAGGGAGGAGTGCAAGAGTTAAAGGGAATAGAGCTAAATAGTATTAACTGATCGTTCATGGAGGGGATTGCAATCATTGTATTGAAGCAAAGGATATGATTTGTTGAATGTAAAATGGATGATCTACTATGTAAACCCCATTTAATTCACAATAAAAAAAAATTTAAGAAATGTATTTAGCATGTCTCTTCCAGAGATAGCACTAAAGACAGTTAAGTGGATATCGTTTTAGATTTTCTTACTGTCTCTCCATGCCAGAGATAGTTTGTGGGGAAATTACAGTATCTTTTCATTTAATTTTTCCACACGCTTTTGAAGCCCCCTCATATACTTAAATGTGTTTTTTAAATTAAAAACATTGATAATGCTATTTATGCTCTTTTGTAACCTACTTTTTCACTTAATGGTATATACTGGCATCTTTTCACTTCAATAAATCTATTAACATCATTATCATCATTCTATAATAAATATTTTTTCATTGCATTCATTTTTAGAATTCTTTAACTTTACAAAGAAAATACCCCATATAATGCCAGTAAGTGAAAAAAAGATCTACAATTTCACCCCATGAAAGACACCCAAACAGTTTCATGCATACCATTCTTGAGTTTGCATAATACTCATATATTCCTAAAATATGTGGATAGTTTTGTGTGTTTTTTTTAAAAGCTAAGTAGTACTGTGACCTGCTTTTTTCCACTTTATTGTGTAGTAGAATCTAGCATCTTAATAAACACTCATCTACAGCATCATTTAAAAAAAACTTTATTGGTGTTCCATCCTGAAAAAGGGTACTCTTTATTTAGACAATCCCTTTTTGATGGGCATTTCGGTTGTTTCCCATTTTAAGTTATTCTTAATACCATCGTGAACTCCCTTACCTCAAACACTTGACCAATTATTTATTGGTCAAGTTAAAATTGGCTGAAGGAGGTGCCCATTTTTTCAAAGGTTTTAAGCGCTGCATCAAACATTTCTTAGAAGATCATTTCACCTTTCTCCTCCACCTCTCCCCGAGTGTCCCAGTAGTGTGTGTCTGAGACCTATCTCCCTAGGAGGCCAGAAATCCCAAGTCTCTTCTGAATAGCTGCTGTTTGGATTTGTTTAAAGCAAAGACTGCGCTGAGGAAGTGGAGGTCCCCCTGGATCTGCAAGCTGACTCCAAGAAGGAAGAAAACTATCGCAGGAACATCTGGAAGGGTTTCCTCATCTCCATCCCATACTCAGCCAGCATCGGGGGCACTGCCACCCTCACGGGTACTCTCCCCAACCTCATCCTTCTCGGCCAGCTCAAGAGGTAACGCAAGGGTCCCCTACCCAGCACTAGGGATTTGATAAAGTGACAGGTGTGTATGCTACATAGACTAATCAGGCTGTCCACTCATATAAGACGGCATTTGAGCAGAGATCTAGAAGTCAGGGAGTGAGTCATGTGGACATAGGCAGGAAAAACATTACCGACAGCAAGAATAATCAGTACAGGTGGTCCCATTCCTAACGATGACTAAGTCAAATGTGTAGATCAATTGTAACAGGTGGGTACAGTTCTTATTCAGCCTTACTTTAGTTCAAGGAAAGGAATCCTGGTGTCATAGTGAGCTGTTGGGCTGCTAACCACAAGGTGAGCAGTTCAAATCCACCAGTCACTTTGAGGGAGAAAGATTTACAAACTTGGAAACCCAAAGTAGGATCACGATGAGCCAGAATAAACTCAATGGCCGTGAATAGATTGGGTTAATGCAAGAAAAGGCTGGAATGTCTTTTCAATGATTTAAAAGCTTCAGGTACAGCTAGGGACAGTGACTATGATGAAGAATTTATTGGGAGATGAGGTCAGTAAAGTCATTTCAAAGTACGGACAAATTTATGTCCTATTAAAGGGCAAGTTTGAGTTGTCTATAAATCTAGATGTTCCTAATCTGGGGGCTTGCTGTACAAAGGTCTTGAGCTGGGAACAGTCCTGGGAGGTTGAGGAAACAGCAAGATGATCTGGCTGGCTGAGCAGCAGATGGGAGGAGACAAGGTCAAAGGAGGCCAGACTCAGACCCCTTTAGGGACCCACCATCAGGACTCCAGCGAACTCTCTAAATAAGATGGGAGTCGCTGGAGAGTTCAGAACAGAGGATGGATAGGATGTGACATGTTTTCAGGCAACGTCTCCCAGGGAGTGGAAATAAGAGAATAAGATTCTCAGATGGCATGACTTGTCGATGCCTCTTGAGTTCTAAGATCTGAAACATTCCAGCATTTCAAGATTCCATTTCTAAGATGTTAAGACCCCAGCTTTTTCAAAGTCTGGATTTCTAAGGTCCTTTTGTAGCAGAGATGCATCCTATGTTCATTTGTTTACATGAATGCAAATGGGAAAAATTTCCAGACCACCCATTGTCAAAAAACAAATCCAAAATTGGACAGGGAAAAGCTTTCTTCAGAAAGAAAAGGGGGAAAGGAAGAGGTCCCTCCTATAATCATAGAAGAGGGGAACTCCATGGAGAATCCTGCCCATAAGATCTGCAGTTGGGTCAAAGAAATAGGGCAGAAATGTTACCTTTTATACAAACGGAGAGAGTTCACCAGCCTAGAAGAAAGCTGGAAAGTGAGATGTGCAGGTAGGCATTGTTGTTGTTGTTGTTAAGTGCTGTCAAGTCAGTTCCGACTCATAGCAACCCTATATAGGGTTTCTGAGGAGCGGCTGGTGGGTTTGAATCACCAACCTCGTAGTTCAAATTGACCTTGAAGTCCACTGCTTTATGCTGCAGCAACACACCAGGACATTGTTGTTATTGTTAAGTGCTATTGAATTGGTTCTGACTCATAGTGACCCTGTATAGGGTTTCCAAGGAGCAGTTGGTGACTTTGAACCAGTGATTCATCCCATAGCGCCACACCAGGACTCTACCAGGACATTACTGGATAGTGAATCAGAATGTTTCATGCTGAGGGATCTTAAAGGAGCTTATGAAGGGATTTCAAAAGTTCATGAAAAAAATGGAATAGAAAAATAAAGGAGTTTTTCCATGAACTTTTGGAATCCCCCTTGTATGTGAGCCCACTGAGGGTGGGCAAAGTCCAGGGACTTGGGAGGAGAGAATTATAACAATTTTGGTTAGTAAGCATTTTGTTTCTTATGGGTCAAAGGGGACAAGCAATTCAGTTAGTCGTTTATGATTCAAGGGATGGCAATTTGCAAGGCTGTGTCTTACTTGTCACAGATAAACAAGGGGGGCATCTGTGAGCCTTATTTCAGTCATATGGGAAGGATGTTATTTGCAGTAAGCTACTTTCCTGGTGTGGCGCTGTTGGATAAGCACTGGGCAGTTCCCACCCACCAGCCACTCCTCGGAAACCCTATACAGGGTCACTATGAGTTGGAACGGACTTGACCGTTCAACAACTTTCCTAAGCACAAAGTGAAATGAGGATTCGTCACAATCTTCTATTATCACAGGGTTCTGGCAAAATGCAACATGACAACAAAGTGTTTGGTATTCAGCCTAGCCTCCAGTGTTGACCAACTTCTGTATATGCTACTGGCTAAAGAATCCAAAACCTGTTAGGCCACTAGAGGTCAAACTAGCTGTGTCCGTCTGCTGGAAGGAAGCTGGGAGTTTGATATCAGGGCTTGTTGGTACACATCCCTGGGGTGGTCAGGAAGACATAAGCTTTGGAGGCCAGGGGAGATAACACAGGCAAGTTCTAAGTTGGGGATGGGGACAGTGGGGATGAGAGTTTTCAGGCTGCCTGCCCACCTGATGTGACTTTGTTCCAACCTGAAAAGGAATTAAGAAGAAAATACTACAGCTATAAGTGGAAATAGAAAACATTTTGAGTAAATTAGATACAAGTGAAATGCAAATTGTTGTCAACATTTAATTGTGGATCCTATGGTCTGGAAGTAGTTTAAAAGAAATACCAAGTAATATAAAGTTCTGGCCTCCAGCTGAGGAGTCTGAAGATATGGGGAAATGGCTAACTTTTGTTCCCCAAATGTACTTCATGACTTTGTTCAGATTATAAATGATATAAGTAGGACACTCAGAAAATGTAGAGGAAAAATTTAAAAACTTGAAATACCTTTTCTTTAAGTCTTTTCTATGTACATCCTAGTGTGGCGCTGTAGGATCAGCACTGGACTGCTAACCACAAGGTTGGCGGTTCAAACCCATCAGTTGCTCTTTGGAAACCCTATACAGGGTCGCTATGAGTCAGAATTGACTCAATGGCACTTAACAACCACAATACACTCAATATATGTATATATTCAACATTGCCATCGTTGTTGTTGTTAAGTGCCGTCGAGTCGGTTCTGACTCATAGTGACCCTGTATAGGGTTTCCAAGGAGCAGCTGGTGAGCTTGAACCACCAACCTTGCAGTTCAAATGACTTTGCAGTCTGATGCATTAGCCCACCGCGCCACACCAGGACTCCATTGTCATCATACTGTTTATATATTTCATCATTTTTTAAAAGAAAAAACTAATTTTTAATAGCTACAAATGATTCCATCTTGGGTGTCATATTTTAGCAATGGGCATTTTGATTGTTTTCATTTCTTCTAATACTTATTTTGCTATTATGAAAATTGTGACTGGCCATACACCTAATGATATTCTAGTTTTTTTAATTTGTTAATTTTTTGGCTTATTACAAAAGACATACTTGTTCCTTATAGAAATTTAAGAAAATACAGCCAAAGAAAGACAATAATCTCCCAGAGTCCCACTAATAGGATTTAACTATGAATATTTATGTTTGTTCATTTGTTTTACAATAACTGTCAATAGGTTTTTTTTTATTGTATGATGTCTGTGAATGGGTTTGTGTTCCTATACTTTCGATGAAAGAATACATATTTTATATCCTACTTTTTTTGCCTTCTCCAACACATGCATTCTTTTTATTATTGTTTTGAAGTTTTTATTGTGAATTGAGTGATAGATTACAGGGAGAATATCGGTTTTACACTCATTGTTTCATTGCAATGATTACAATCTCCTCCGTGTATCATCATTCAACAGTATTTGCTTCTATTCCCTCTGTTTTGTTTTTTGTTGTTGTTGTTATGGGGGGTTTTTTTGGAGCCGAACACAAAAACACTAAGAAATATATAATTATTTAAACAACCAAAAGACACATTCTGCAAGCCTGCCTCCTGACTGCCAGCTCTCAGTCCCTCTCTTTCAGTGAGCTAGAGTCCTCAGCTGCTCTATCTCTCCATGTCCCCATCTCTGCCTCCATCTCTGGTTGTCGCTTCTTCTCTGGGTAAGGTCCCGCATTCCGCTTGTGTTCTTCTCCCTTCATGGTTCTAAGGTTCTAGGTTTCTGGACTGTAAGATTAACTACTCCCCCATTTTTGTTACAAAACTTCTACCTTTATAATTTTGACAGTCGCAATTAGTCATGGTAACAATTACTCACTATTGAATCTTAAGACTCTTATCACTATCTCTTTTTACCAGACCCTTTCTTTCTTTTTTTAAGCTATATTTTTAAGAGTCCTGGTGGGTTAATGAGCAGACTGCAAAGTTGTTTGGACTGTAAGGTCGATGGTTCAAGCTCACCAGCTGCTCCTTGGAAACCCTATACAGGGTCGCTATGGGTCAGAGTTGACTCAATGGCACTTAACAATACCGTCTAGGAGACCTAGTGGGGTAGTGTTTAAGTGCTCAGATGCTAACCAGAAAGTTACCACTAGCCTCTCCTCAGGAGAAAGATGTTATAGTCTGTTTCAGTAAAGATTGTAGCCTTAAAAACCCTATAGGGCAGTTCTACTCTGCCCTGTGGGTAACTGTGGGTTCAGTAGACTATCTGGGTTGAAAAGGGCATATACATACTTGTTTCTGTTGTTGTTGTTAAGTGCCATTGAGTCAGTACTGACTCATAGCGACCCTATGCACAACAGAACGAAATACTGCCTGGTCCTGTGCCTACCTCACAATCGTTGCTACACTTGAGCCCATTATTGCTGTCACTGTGACAATCCATCTCTTTGGGGTCTCCCTCCACTCTACCAAGCATGATATCCTTCTCCAGGGATTTCTCGAGCTGCCCTTTGAAATCTTCTGCTCAGCTCTTTTACCGCCCCATTTCTTCCATTTGCTTTAGCATCTCTGCACTGGAGAGCAAGTTTCAGAGTCTCTTCTGACATCCATTCTGCTCGTTTTCTTCTTTCATGTCTTCTTAATGATCTATTGCTGTATTCCTGTATGATGTTCTTGATGTCATCCCACAACTCTTCAAGTCTTCAGTCATTAGTGCATCAAATCTCTTCTTGAGATGATCTCTAAATTCAGGTGGGATATGTTCAAGGTCATATTTTGGCTCTTGTGGACTTGTTTTCATTTTCTTCAGCTTCAGCCTGAACTTGCATATGAGCAATTGATGGTCTGTTCTACAGTCTGCTCTGGAGCTTTTTCATCATCTCTTTCCACAGATGTAGTCAACTTGATTTCTGTGTTTTTACATTACATGTTTAAAGCTTTTAATTCCTTGCACCAGATTCCCCTCCAGAAAAATTTTGTTCCCATGGACAAGTACTGGGACTATACCATCACTGAATGTTATGACCCTTAACCCTTTCAGGTTTGAAGATATCTTAGCAAAGCTGAGGTTTGACTGTTTTGCAGAAGTGGGCAGGACCGTAGGGCCCATGAGGACTTTAAATGAGTAGGGCAGAGGTTGCAGTCAATAGAGGTCTGTCTGGCTCTCACAGTCTTTATCAACTGTGATTTTTTTAATCAACTGCCAACATTTAGACAGCACAAGATTTCAGGGACGAACCCAGATCTGGGCTCACTAGACCTGCACTCCCGCATTTCGACAGTAGGGGGAGCTGAGTGGCACCGACCCGTTTAATGGAACTCCTCTATTGACCAGGAGCTCTGGTAGCGTAGTGGTTATGAATTGGGCTGCGAACCGTAAGGTCAGCAGTTCGAAACTACCAGCTGTTCCGCGGGAGAAAGATGAGGCTTTCTGCTCCCGAAAAGATTTACAGCCTCGGAAACCCTGTACAGGGTCACTATGAGTCAGAACCGACTCCACGACACATAACCATCACCACCTCTATTGACCATCGGCCACCCAGGCTTGCTTCACTCATTTGGGTTACCTGTATGACCCCCAGGGACCATTGAATTTTTGACCCCTGGAGAAGTGCATCTACAACCTTAATAGAGCAGAAATTCAGCATCTCCACTCCCACCAAGGGCGAGAAAAAGGGGTTAGAAGAGTTGGAGAACTCTTCTTGTGATTTCCCTGGGGGTCACTGACAACTCTCTTGATACACTGATGCAAATACCCACCATGCACTCCCCAAGTCGGCTCTCATCTCCCCCTGTTTTCCAGTTTCTTCCCGCAGTGTGACTTGGTGAATTTCGGCTCCTGGTTCATTTTCGCCTTCCCGCTGATGCTGCTGTTCCTATTGGTGGGCTGGCTCTGGATCTCCTTCCTGTACGGGGGAATATCCTTGAGGTACTTCTGATTTTTCTCTCTGGGTGTAGGAAAAAACTAGCTTTGGAGCCAAATAGAAATGTGTTTGAGTACCAGCGTCCTTATTCACTAGGGAATGACATTTGGAAGCCTGAGTCTCCTGCAGTGTGTAAACCAAGGGTTGCATGGGGCCATTGTAGAAGTCCCAACCGCCTAAGAGTATAGGTAATGTATGTGAGCCACCTGCCATGCCCAAACCCTCAGTTAATGTTGTAGCTAGTTGCCTCGGAGACCATTCCACTCATGACCATCCTATCTATGTAACAAAGCCATCATGATTGTTTGTAATTTGAATCTATTGTTTGTGGTTGCTATAGCAATTCATCTCATTGACCGTGCCCCTTACTGTCACCAATGCTTTACTTTACCAAACATGATGTCCATCCATCATTAACCGTCATTATAGAGGTGCTGCAAGATAAGCACTGGACTGCTAACCGGAAGGTCGGCAGTTCAAACCCATTAGCCTCCCCTCCGTTGTTACAAGTCAGAACTGACTCCAAGGCACTTAACAACAAAATTGTTCTTTACCAGAAGAGTGCCGTGTGTTAGTCAAAACTAAAATAGGCAACACAGCACATGGCTCAGAAATCAAAACACCACAAGAAAGTGCACCATGAGTTTTGTTCCCAACCATGCCCACATATAATCCTTCACTCATTATATCCTCCCCGCCCGTCAAGCAGTTATCCATTTTTATTGGTTTCTTGAGTCTTCTGCTAGAGTTTTCTTAAACAAATACAAATGTATTTTCTTGGTACATTACCTTTTGTCATTTTGTATACTTGCAAACCTTTTTTAGGGGAGATAAATTTCCAGAAATAAGATTTCTGGGTCAAAGCATAAGTATATTTTTACTCTAATAGATATTATCAAATAATTATCCCAATTAATAACTTAGGAGCATGTCTATTTCCCTGCAGCAAAGATGGATTTTGCCCATCTAAAAAGAGAAAAAGATCCTGTGCATTTATGTTACTAAGAGTAATCTTTGAGCAGTTTTTCATGTTTGAGGGCTATTGGTATTTCCTGTGAACTGTGGAACGAAGTGTTCATATTCTTTGTACATTTCTAACTAGATGGTTGGTCTTTGTCTTTTTGGTTTATAGTATTATTTATATATTAGAAAGATAAGCCCTTATTTTTCAATATCAACTGGAAATTTTCCCCTGGTTTGTTTTTCTACTTGGCAAATGGTGGTGTTTTTTTCCAGGGTACAATGAAAACAAATTTTAGGTGAATTCATCAATTTTTTCTCATAGGCATCTGAATTTTCAATGATTAGAAAGTTCTACCCGTTATGGAGGAATAATCCCATGTTTTTTCCAGTACTGTTATATTTTACATTGACGTATTTTATCTATTTGGTATGAGGTTTGGATCCAATTTCTTTTTTGTTCTAGGTGGACACCCAATTGTCCCAACTTAGTAATAGCCCATTTACTTAATCAAGGTAAACAGAGGCTCACTTGTACTTACTTACTAATCTGTAGTAAACAGTTTCACATTATTTCACAACACCAAGAATTCTGCTTCTAGGTCTGGCTGGCCTCTGTCTGTCTTCCAGCCCCATAGCACCTTCCTACAGAATCCAAGCCTCAGTTCCTGATAAGGCAGAGTACTCAGTAAGAAAGGTAAGCACAGGCTTACTTGTGCTGCCTTATCTGTAGTAAACAATTTCACATGTTTCTTACCACATCAAAGACATGATTTACTGGAGAGCCCAGCTTTTCCACACCAATCCAACATAGCAATTTTGTTGTTGTTAGGAACCATTAAGTCAGTTCTGACTCATAGTGACACTGTATAGAGTTTCTGAGACTGTAAATGTTTGCAGGGGCAGGAAGTCTCATCTTTCTCATGAGGAGTGGCTGGTGGGCTTGAGCCACTGAACTTGTGGTTCATAGTCCAGTGCTTATTCGAGTCACTGTACTCTCTATATCAGCTTTATTATAAAGTAAGTCCAGAAGTGTTTAGGTCTCTTTCTGGACTCTCTACTTTGTCCCATTGATTTCCTTGTTAATTCCGGTGCCCACTGGACCCACTAAGTAACTTTATACTGACAGCCATATATAAATCATCAGGTTGCCTTTTAAAGCATCACCCAGATTTTTGTGGGAGACTAGACTCCAGAAAGGTAAAGTGGTCATCAGGTTGTTGCAGTGTCTAAGAGCCACAGTGTGGCTCAGCCAGGTGGGGGCAGGAAGGAAAGTGATGTCAGACCTGCAGTGGCCACTCCTAACCTCCCCTCTCTCTCTTCCAGGCGTTGTTGGAGGAAGAAATCTGAGTTCAGGGCTGATTCAGAAGACAGGGCTCGAGCCATGATTCAGGAAGAATTCCAGACCCTGGGGCCCATCAAGTGTGTGGGGTTCTTTGGGAAGGCTACCCCCTGACATGGCCCCTGGCCCGTGGGATCTGAGTCCCCCAAGAGCCTGGAGGGGTGGGAAGTGACCTTCTTAGTCTCTTGACCTGGTGTTGGACCAGTTACCCTGTGGCCTTCAGGGGAGGCTATCTGAGAAAACTAGAGTCCCTCAGGGTGTACTTGGGGAAGGGACCTGCCTCCTTGTACCTGATACATTCTCTCCCTCCTGGTGTGCAGGGCACTCTGACAGTGTCCCTGATGATTCCAGGAACTCTGCTTTGTTTAGTATGTGCTTTCCAGTGGTGAAAATAACAAGAACAGAAGGCTTGCCTCTGCCATTAACTTCCTTTGTGACCTTGAACAAACCATAACTCTCTCTGGGCCCTGCTCCCCAATCTGTGAAATGGGCGTGTTGTTGTTGTTGTTGTTAAGTATCATCAAGTTGATTCCAACTCATAGCAACCTTATATAGGGTTCCAAGGAGCAGCTGGTGAGTTTGAACGGCCAACCTTGTGGTCCACAGTACCACAATGGAGACCTGGCGTGAAATGGACATGTTAAGTAGATATTGGCCCCAACAGCTGAGGAGTTTCTCTGTCTTTGTCTGCGCCTCAGTGTGTGTGTGTGTGTGTGTGTGTGTGTGTGTGTGTGTGTGTGTGTCCTTGGTCGGTCGGTATGACTGTTCGTCTCTTTCTTTATCTGCTTCTCTGTCTGTCTTGGTGGCTGTGGCCCTTTCCTCCTACTTTTCTGTCTTTCTCTATCTCTGGTTCTCTTTTTAGTTTCCTCTCATTTCTCCTTTGGGCTGTGGTAGGAGTGATAGAGTTTGGAGAAAGGGTACTTGATGTCCCAGAAGGAGTGTAGAAGCCCTGAAACAAGAGATACTTAACCCCATCTTTGCCCTTCCACCACACCCTGGCTTTCTGGGAACACCTAGGAGGGAGAGAATTCTTCCTCTCAGATTTCTCAGAGGCCGGACATGGACCCAGTCCGACCCAGGCTGTAAGTGGGCACCAGGCTGCAGTCAGTTCCAAACCCACAGTCACCATCTGTGTCTTTGTCACAGATTTGCTGAACAAGCTGTTTTCATCTTTTTCTGCTTGTTTGCCATCCTCCTCTTCTTCCGGGACCCGAAGTTCATCCCTGGCTGGGCCAGCTTCTTCACTCCTGGGTGAGATTCAGAGCCCTCATAGGATGGAGTCTTGCAAGGGGTGGGGGGCTAGTCAAAAGAAGTGGCTTTGAGTACTACTGCAATTCTTATCATTTTCCAAAATGTAACTACTTTTGTTATTTATTCAGATGAAAAATGAATGTAGAAACACTTTAATGATACAAAGGAAGTAAAAAAATCACCTAGAATCTCAGCGTCTAGTTTCCAGATAAGACTTTTTGGACTTTTAAAACAACACCATTAGTCTGAGAACTGTTCTATATCATGATCACATTGGTGGTCACAGGACTGTATACATTTGTTAAAACTTAACGACTGTTGTGTTAAAATGAGTTTACCTTCCTGCATGTAAATTACACACCCCAAAATTGACTTTAAGAGCTCATGCAAGCTGCTGAAAGCTCACCTACCTACACACAATATTTTTTTATAAAAACTTCAATCACAGCATACATATTATGTATAATCTCACTTTTTCCTTGACTTTTTAATTACAAAAATGATACATGTTCATTATACAAAATTCAAACACTAAATTATTAAAACAAAAGTTAGTTGCTTTTTACCTGCCCAGAGAGGCTCACTATTAAAATTTTGATGTGTAGCATTTTATAACCATCTGCTTGTCTATCTATCCATACACATACACAATAACTAATACACATACACAAACATATATTAGTAATACATACGTACATGTGTATGTTTGAATATATATTTATATGGATGTGTTATGAATATCTGAGTTATGGATGACTGGGTCTTTAATTCAGGGCTGTGAAGTGTGTTCTTTCAAGGCCAATGAAGTGAACAGGAATACATCAGAATTTATAATTTAGGTGATTCCTCATGGTAATCAGAATGAGAACATTTATGGGTCGTAGCCCTGGAGTGGGGGACTCAGAAGAGGTGTAATGAGTTCTTTCACGAGCTTTATAAATAAATTGGGTTATTGGCAGGACTGGAGAGTGATATACATTCAAAGTGGCCAATCAGCCACCATCTTTGAATGGGGTGTGCCATCTTTGAAGCCCTACTTTAATATCATGCCCTCACTTTGAAAGCGTTGAACCAACCCCTACTCACAACAAATTCTTCATCACAGTCATCTTCACTTGCTGCATGTGCAGCTTTTATATAATGGGAACGACTTGGAGCCTTTCCTTAAATAAGAATTTTTATATAACTAAAAAGACTTTGAGCCTTTTCTTAAATAAGACCTTTTTATAAATAAGAACTGTATGCACCTGCTTCTACAAAGATCCAGTCAGGAACATATCTCCTCCATAAGCCCAGGGCTGCATCTTTTTCTCTCTCCTCTCTCTTTCTATATGTTGTTGTTAAGTGCTGTCGAGTTGGTTCCTACCCTTAGCGACCCTGAACAGTGTTTCCGAGGCTATAAATCTTTACAGGAGCAGAAAGCCTCATCTTTCTCCCATGGAGCAGCTGGTGGTTTCGAACTGCTGACCTTGCGGTTCGCAGCCCAATTCATAACCACTATGCTACCAGAGCTCCTTTTCTATATGTATTATATACAACTTGAAAAATAATACAATAATGTGATCGTGGACAGCTTGCTAGTTCCCCAGCACCTCACTTTTTGTAAACACTGCATAGTATTCTATTAGATAAGCAATTCCTTTTTTGACTGAATCTAGTACTGCAAAGAGAAAATCTGATTTTTTTATTTTTTATTGGTTTTATTTCTATGCCAGTGCATAGAGATTGACACTGTCTTTTATCTTTATCAAAAAGCAGATGCAGGATATTTCATTATATGGTTGAGACACATTTTATTTAAGCCTGTTCCTATTTAAATTTTTCTCTTATTTTGATTCTTATAAATAATGAAAATCCCTGTACAAAATCTGAAGAAGTGGCTGAATATTTCCTGAGGGTAAATTCCTAGAAGTAGAATAAATGGATCAAGAGGTATTTACATCCAAAATTTCAAAACATGTTGCCAACTGCCTTCCAGAAGGTCAAACCATTCCCCCACTACTAGTCTATTAAGGCACCCTGGTAGCATAGTGGTTACAAATTGGGCTGCTAACCTCAAGGTCAGCGGTTTGAAACTTCCAGCTGTTCAGCAGGAAAAAGATGAGGCTTTCTGCTCCCATAAAGATTTACAGCCTCAGAAAACCTGTACAGGGTCGCTATGAGTCGGAACCGACTCCAGAGCACACCACCACCACCACCGTGACCACCACTGTGACCACCAGTATATTAAGGAGTGGTGTGGTGTTATAGGATCAGCACTGGCCTTTAAACCATAAAGTCGGCAGTTCCAATCCACCAGCCGCTCCCGGAAACCCTATACATGGTCACTATGAGCCGGAACCAACTCAGCAGTACATAACTACAGTAGTATAGCAGGTTTCAAGTGGAACTGCTCACCACAGGTCAGCAGTTCTAATCTAGCAGCCGCTCTGCAGGAGAAAGATGAGACTTTCTTATGTAAGTATTTACAGCCTCAGAAACCCTATACAGAGTCACTGTAAGTCAGAACTGACTCCATGGCACCCCCCCACACACACACACACACCAGTCTATTTGTCCCAAACTCACACTACACACCATCACCCTTTCCAAGAAGTATTTTCATTTGTATTGCCTTCACTATAGTGACAGTGACCATATTCTCACATTTCTTGTGTTTTGAAAATCCTTTCTCCTAAATGTGTGGGCTGGAAGGCTGTTGTTAGCAGTTGGCTTAGTGGTGCATTAGATAAAGCCAGAAAACTCTGGGTTCAAGACCTATGTCCTCCATGGACCGTTGTCTGCCCTTGAACAAGCTGCTTCTCTGATTTTGAACTTCAGATTTCTCTCCTGAAATAGAAGCTGCCTGCCTCAGAGGGCTATGTTTGAGGCTTCTGTGAGTTTAATGTCTACAAAATACATGTTGTAGCTGCTTGGAAGGTGGGACTTAGATTGTGGGGGGCAATGAGGTTGGGTCGATCAGGGCTCTGCTGGTGGTGTTGGGCAGCATCTCCATGTGGTAAATTGCTCATTCAATCAGAAGTTGTATAAGTACATACAAGAGTCTAGGTTAGGGTGACTTGGGGATTCCATAGACTTCAGTTTTCTGGGGCTTTCAGCTTCTTCCTTTTTGATCAAGTCCTTGAATTGGGGGCCTGGCTCTAGCCAGCATCAAACTATGTGCCAGGGAGCTGTCCGAGGAAAGGTTTTTGCATCCATAAGTAGTTGCCTTCATATGGAATGAGGTGTAGTACTAGATCCAACAGTCTCCTTCTCAGTGGGCCAGACTCCCTTTCACAAATCCTCATGGGTTGCTGGAGTGCCCAGGGTCATGTGATTTGGGTCCTTGTCATTGTAGGTTTCTTTCCGATGCTGTCACTGGAGTGTCCATTGTCACCATTTTGTTCTTCTTCCCGTCCCAAAGGCCATCTTTCAAGTGGTGGTTTGACTTCAAAGGTAAGTGGGCATAGGTTGGGGTCTCACTGGGCTCAGTGAGGACTATAGTAAGGGGCGTGTAATCAGAAAACTGGAGGTGGGACCACACTGGGAAGTAACTCCTCACTGGCCCTAGCTTATGACCAGGTGGTCCCTGATGTCCACTGTTTGCTGTCTATGTTGACCTGGTCTGAGGATTCAGGGCACCCAAGCTGATGGTCTAGGGCAGGAATTGGCAACTACAGTCCAAGTGCCTGTCTGTTTTGATAGAACTTGTGAGCTAAGAATGCTGTTTACATTTTTAAATGGTTGGGGAAAAAAATCAAAAGAAAAAGAATACTTCATGATCCATGAGCATTATAATTTTCAGTATCCATTTATCAAATTTAGAATTTTCTTAATACAAAATGTATGGGAATGTATGTTTTTCCTCATTATTAACTACCTACACAAGAGCCTTGATTTAACCTCTTGGCCTACAAAGGCAAAAATGTGAACTTCCTGATTCTCTTCAGGAAAAGTTTGTTGACCCCTGGCCCAAGGCAGGAGTTAGTTCATGCCTCCCTGAGGGGCCAGGCATGAAAAATTCAAGCTTGGTTTAAAACTTACAGAAAGTGGTAGAGACTGAGGTAAACCTGCCCAAAGGCATTCGCCGCAGTGTAAAGGGGGGAGGGGGGATCAAACCCAGCATCTGTGGGCTGACCTCCAGATTGCCAATTCAATTTCTAGCAGATGTCTGCCAGAAGGAGGCTTCCTCTGTGGCCGAGACTAGCCACTTATCTACCAGGAGTCAGCAATGATGGGTTTCTATTATTGAAAACAATCAATATCAAGAAGGAAGGTCTACTCATGGTTTTGTTGGGTGGACGCATCAATGAGGGGATGGAGATCTCAGAGGGTTCCAGAAACAACAAAAATGGCATGGAGGTGGTGTCCAACCTCCTCGACTTCATAAGAAGGGAGAATCAAGCTCAACATCAGCCTAAGGCTGATTCCTTTGAGGCAGAAGTCAGACATGCCAACACTCTCCAGCTGTTTTGCCAGTTCTGACACCAACTGTCCCGCCCACAGCCTTATCTACTCCTAAACTGGGTTCCATCATTGTAATGTCCACACAGAACTCATGAATAATACTCAAGATTATGGGGTTTATTAGGGAAATTAACAGGTTACAATGCAGAATGAGAAATGCCCAGGATATAGTTCATTGGTCAGGACGGCCTCTTCATAGCTGTGCCTGCAGACAGGCCTTTCTGGTCCTCAGCAGCCACGTGGCCTCTTGGCCTCTGCCTTACTTGGACAAGTGTTACAAAGCTCTTTTAACTCTGCTGATAAATGCCCACTATGTCAATAAGCCTTGGCCCAAAGGTGCTCAGCTGTAGCTCCATGGCTTGATAAACCTAGCCCCCCGATTAAGTACCCAGGAGGCATTCCACACCACCAGCAAGCTTCCTGTCCAAAGGCACGCAGCTTTTTTTGCTCTTTCTGCCAGTAAGCCCACTGTACTGTCTGCTGCCAGGATCCTGGTTCGGCTGCCACCCTGTCCTCCCACTGCTCATCACCTCTGATGTCACAGCTCTGTCTTTTGGATCAAGGAGGTTCTGTGTAGGCATCTTGCGATCACACTCCAGATAGATCTCCCTTTCTGCCTCTAGAATAGCTCATTTTCAATCCAGTGAGTTGAGAAAACTGACCAACCTCCACATTAGCGTTTCATACACCTTAAAGAGCTCTGGTAGGGTAGTGGTTACAAGTCAGGCTGCTACCCTCAAGGTCAGCAGTTCGAAACTACCAGCCGTTCTGGGGGAGAAAGATGAGACTTTCTGCTCCTGTAAAGATTGACAGCCTCGGAAACCCTATGCAGGGTCACTATGAGTTGAAACTGACTCCACGGCACTCGGCCACCACCACACCTTACATGCGTGGTTCCACTGTACAAGGATGCCATGTTCCTTGTTCACATTATTAGCAAGCTATTCAATCCCCTTGGTGGGCCACAAGCATCTCATTTCTGCATAGTCCTACCCAATCATTTGGTAGGAGTTACAAAGACAGCTAGAAGGACCATTTCAAGGAATTCCCTGCAGTGCAACAGTGATTGTAGCCCCCGGGGCCTCAATGGGACGGAACTGTATTCAGGGATGCCCAAGGCTTTGCAGTTAATACAGATTTGTCATCTCTGCAGCTGTACCATACCTCCAGCTGGCTTTCTCTGTCATTTCTCATCATTTTCTTGCTTTCTTCTGCTTCTTAGTGTTTGCATTGGTTAGCTCTGTTTTGGTATAGCTTCTGCTTTTAATAAAAAATAACTTTATTTTTAAAATAACACAAACACTATAGCGGCTTCTCCTTCATAATGCCTACCCCTTAGAGAGGCTGCTCCTTCTGCTCCCTACAGTTTCTGTCCGGGAGACTTTGGCACTTCAGTGATTGATTTCTCGTCTTCCATGTAGAAAATGGGGTTCACTTCTGGCCAGTGTACCTCAAGTGCACTCATCATCCTGTCAGTGGAGACCTGCATGTTGCTATGAGGCAGAACAGGTTTCAGTGGAGCTTCCAGACTCAGACAGACTAGGAAGAAATGCCTGGAGATCTACGTCTGAAAATGAGCCAAGGGGAACCCTATGGATCACAATCGTCTGATCCTGTTACACTCCATAGGGGTCACCATGACTCGGGGGTTCGACCATAGTTTCTGTTTCCACCAAGCATCTACTCACTCACACTTTTTACTTCTCCACAGCACAGCTTTCTTCCTCTTACCGTCCATATTCCCTCCTAGAGTTTATCTTCTCCCTCACAGTCTCTGCTTCCTCAGATCATCTCCCTCCTCACAGCTGCCATTATTTCCAAGCCCCAGCTTCCTCACAGTTTCTGGTTCCTCACAAACTTCATCTTGTGTATGACCCTCCTATGTCACATGGTAGAAGTCCTGGTGGGTGCTGCAGGATAATGCACTGGACCGCAAAATCATTTGGAACTGCAAGGTTGGCAGTTCAAATCCAACAGCTACTCTTCAGAAACTCAACACAGACAGGGTTGCTATGAGTCGGAACTGACTGGACAGCATTTAACAACAACAATATTACATGGTGTGGTAATGTGGGATAGGCACTGGACTGCTAACCACAAGGGCAGCGATTCAAACCCAATAGTAGATAGACCTACTTAACAACAACATGTTGCATGGCACCTCTCTCCCTCTCTGTTTATTCTTTTACCTTTCTCTTTGTCCAGTTGTCTATTTCCTGGTCATACTTCTGTGGGTAAGAATCTGATTGGCCGGCTTGTTCTTCTTTGGGCAGATCTTCTCCCACCCAGCCACCCCATAGACTCCTAGCTGCCCTTGGTCAGGGGTCAGGTGCCCATCCATGGTCACTCCCCTGTGTGTAGGCTTCTCTCAGTTGGGGCTGTAGGGGAGGCACTGTGACAGAGAAGTCTGGTCCCAGCTATTATAACTTACTGGGTGACCTTGAGGAATCTCTCTGCTATCTGGGCCATACTGGCTCAATTATAAAATAAGGGGACCTCTTAGATGCCTCCTCTGATGTTCAATAGTTCTCTAGATCCACAGTTGAAAACTTAGATGCCTACAAGGAGGACACAGTCCTTGTCTTCTCTTAGCATTGGCAGGTCCGGCTTTCCTTAGAGTCCCGCATGCATCTTGGCATCCATCTCTCCCTGGAACTCGGAGCCTCACAGTGCGGGGATCCCAGGTCCAGAGGACACACACCGCTTCTGGCTCTTCTTTCTTGGTGGTACTAGATCCTCCTCTTTCTCTGTTCACTTCTCTCTCCTTTCATCTTTGTAAGATAAAAGATGTTGCAGGCCACACTCCTGGGAAACTCCCTTACATGGGATCAGGCTTGTGCTGGGATTGAGGGCCTTGCTGCCCACCTTTAATCTTCTTATTATCACATCATGGGGTGGGGGGTTCATCACATAACTGCCATATATAACTGCCAAACCTCTGAGAACCGTAGCCCAATCTAGCTGACACATATCTGGGCTGGAGGGACACCATTCAATCCATGACGTCAGCATTGCCTATGGGACGAGGAGAGCAAGGTCCAGGAGCACCGACAACACCAGTGCCACACCTGGACTCTGCGTACCTAATTAGTGGAGGATTTTTATTTAAAGTAGTTGCTTTTTGCCTTGATTTCCTGGTTAGACAACCTCTGTGGGCTATTTAGGAAAAACAGATGTCATGACTACATGGCTTGCCCCTACTACCTGGCTAAATGCTTGGCTGCTAACCAAAAGGTTAGGGGTTCGAACCCACCCAGCAATCCCATGGGAGAAAGGTCTGGAGATTTGTTTCTGTAAAGATCATGGCCAAGAAAACCCTCGGGAAAAGTTCTACTCTGTCTCCTGGGGTCACTCAAAGTCAGAATTAACTCGACTGCATCTAGTAATACCAGGTGTCAGGGAACTACCATGAAGCAGCCATGCCTGGCCCCCGGCCTTCCTGGTCCCAGACTGCGATGCAAAGCTACATTGAGGAGTGTTTACTGAGCACCAGACATTGGGCCAAGCATCTCACAGACATTATCTGACAAGCATTTAAGAAATCGGAGTTGATTCAATGGCCACAGGTTTTATAGAGCTGGTTCTTTATAGAGCAACCGCTAGGAACCCTGGAGTCCCTGATATGGTGCTGTAAGATAAGCACTGGACTTCTAACAGAAAGGATGGCGATTCCAGTCCACCAGCTGCTCCTCTGAAACCCTAAATATGGTCACTATGATTCAAAACCAACTCGACGGCACTTAACAACTTCACAATACTAGGTGTCCTGGTGGTGCAACGGTTAAGTACTTGGCTGCTCACTGAAAGGTTGGTGGTTCAAACCCACTCTGCAGCTCTGTGGGAGTAGCATTGGAAAGATTGCAGCCTAGGAAACCCTAGAGGGTAGTTCTGCCCTGTTAGTGGGGTCACTCTGAGTTGGAATAGACGTGACAGTACCCAACATCAGGTGCCAGGCACTGTTGTAGACCATGGGGATCCAGTCGTGAACTAGATAGGGGTGTTTCTCTCCACATTCAGCTCCACCATTGCTTCAGAGAGTGCCCCCCAGAAGCCTCCATGGCCTGCTGCCACTGTGATCTTTGTCAGTGGGGAGAGGGAGGCTCAGAGATGGCATGTCCCTTGTTCAATTTCACACAGTGAGCACTTACCAAGGCCCGGGACACCAAGGCTGTGTACTCCACCAGGGATGGCAAACTGCAACCCAATCCAGGCCCGTATAAGACGCTTTGATTTGTTTTGTATCATCCCACAGTTTCACATGAGCTCACTGCCTTCTAGCTGATTCCAGGCCTATCTATAGGACAGAGTAGAACCGCTCCATAGGGTTTCCAAGGCTGTAAATCTTTATGGAAGCAGACAGCCTCACATTTCTCCCTCAAGGTGACTGGTGGTTCGAACCACCATCCTTCTGTTAGTAACCCAATGTTTAGCCCATTGCGCCACCAGGACACTGACAATGACAGAATAATTGCAAAAAATAAAAAGATGTGTGGCCTGCCGAAAGAACCAGTCACTCTCTCTCTCCAGAAAACATATGCTGAGCCTTGTCCTAAGCCTTGTTTTCACACGGCCACTTTCGAGAAAATAGAAACTAAACCATAAACTCATGGGCCAAAGCCAGTCTTAGTTTCTCTTTTCCTGAAAATCTTTCCCTTTTTTTCTCATCTCTGCACTTGTTGCTGTTGTTGTTGTTGTTGTTAGGTACCATCAAGTCGGTACCGACTCATAGCAAGTCCATGCACAGCAGAATGAAACACTGCCTGATCCTGGGCCAACCTCACAACTGTTGCCACACTTGAGTCCATCGAGACTGCCACTTGGCCAATCCATCTTGTTAGGAGTCTTCCTCTTTTTCTCTGACCGTCTGCCTTACCAAACATAATATCCTTCTCCAGCGACTGGTCCCTCCTGACAATATGTCTGAAGCATGAGAGATGAGGTTTGGCCATCTTGGCCTCCAAGGAGCACTCTGGCTGCACTGCTTCCAACATAGAGCTGTTGGTTCTTTTGGCAGCCCATGGCACTTCCTCAGTTAAAAGAAAAGCTTTGAGAGATGGAAAGTGCCTTCAGTCCCAGGTCTGGTCCCTTTAGGAGCCACGACCATGCCCTCACTCTGAGCAGTTGTTCTGTCACAATGCTTGTTGAGTTTTGCTAAAACTCCAAAATCAAACTCTGGAGGCAGCTGTGGCTTCCTGTAGGCCCCTGAAACTCCAACAAAGATGGGGTTACAGGGCTCAGGGTCCTTCCACTGACTGAGTGTCCCCCAAGATTGCCCTGGGCCCCCTTCTTGCCATTGGGGTTGTGGGGTCCCTTCCTCAGGCTGCATGGCCCTCTCTGAGAAGGTGTTGGGTCCCTCTCTCTGCCCAGCTCCCAACAAGGAATCTGAGCCCTTACTGACATGGAAAAAGGCTCAGGAGTCGGTACCCTGGAACATTATCCTTCTCCTGGGTGGAGGCTTCGCCATGGCCAAAGGCTGTGAGGTAAGATGGGGCAGGGGCAGCAAGTGTGCTGTGGGCCTGGGCTGACGGGGCTATGTGGGGAAGGCCTAGCTGTAGCTGCAGATGCTGGAGCCAGAGCCAAAGAACAAGAGGATGGGATCTTTCATCGGGACCTTCAGGGGATTCAGGATGGGACTAATAATAATAACATCATGGCAAGAGGCTCTGTGAGCACAGAGAAAGAACAGCATAGTGTGCTTACCCGTGCCAGGCACTGTTCAATGTGCTTACCTCATTAAGCCCCCTCAACAAGCCTAAGATCTAGATGCAATTATTACCCCACCTTTTGGATATGGAAATGAAGGTACAGAGAGGTAAGTAACTTCTCTCAGGTCACTGCAAAACGCCCACCAACCTTCTCTCCCCTGACACTCTGCTCAGCTGGATTCGATCATCCACTGCAATGGTCACACAGAACTCAAACACCACTCGTAACTGAATCATATCATCCTACCAGCATCTTCTACCTTCTCTTACCCAGGCCCAGAAGGAAAAGTCATGTGATAGGGGCTTTAAAAGCGCTCAACCACAAGGTCGCTTTGGACTGAAAGGTCAGCGATTCAAACTCACCAGCTGCTCCTTGGAAACCCTAGACAGGGTCACTGTGAGTTGGAACTAACTTGATGGCACTTAACAACAACAACAATGACTACTAGAAGAGACATTAAATATTCACTGCACTGTGTTCCTCCTGAAATGGTTGAACATTAGCCAATTCCTTTTTGGTACGGTGACAGTATATATTCCTTCCATTTTTCTAACCTCAAGGTTAGTGATTCAAACCCACCAGCTGCTCCTTGGAAACCCTATACAGGGCTGCTGCGAGTCTGCAGTGACACAATGGCACTTAACAAAACAACAATTACTAATATTGGGACCATAGTGGCTCTAGAAGATAAGCACTGAACTGTGAACCACAACATTGGCGGTTCTAGCCCACTTTTGCCCCCACAAAGATTTGCAGCCTCAGAAAACCTGTACAGGGTAGCTGTGAGTCAGAACCGACTCTTCAGCACTTAACAACAACCTCATTACTGTTATTCTGTAAGACTTCATTCAAAGGCAAGGCCAGGACTACAATGAGGCAAAGCAGCCCCCAGGACACAATATGCAAGAAGATCTTTGCCCTTAGGGTCCTATTGTGCTTGACTTATGAATTGAGGCTCAAACTTCTTACTGTTCGCATTGGTTGGAAAGAATGAAAAATAGAATCACTGACCCTATGTGCATCAAGTAGGAACCACTAACAAGTTGGTGTGTTCACTCTATCCTCACACCTCAGTGACTCTGGGTTGGGTTCCCGGAAGCAGGCTCTGAGGTGAAAATTAGTCAACACCTGTGGGAGGGAGGGAAGGAAGCAGGATTGGGCAGAAAGGGAAGCATTGCTGTGAGACAGAACTATGACTGGGGGGGGCTCAAATTGGGACAGCCTTCAGATAGGCTCCCACTGGGCCTGAAGGCAGTGGTTGTGGGCTGTGGAGCCAATTCTGAATCATAGAGAAGAACAGCCCTGTAGGGTTTGCTAGACTATAATTTTTATGGGGGAGTCCTGGTATGGCACTGTAGGATAAGTTGTTGTTGTTGTTAAGTGCTGTCGAGTCGGTTCCGACCCATAGCGACCCTGTACGGGGTTTCCGAGGGTGTAAATCTTTACGGGAGTAGAAAGCCTCATCTTTCTCCCGCGGAATGGCTGGTAGTTTCGAACCACTGACCTTAAGGTTCGCAGCCCGATTCATAACCACTATGCTACCAGAGCTCCCTGTAGGATAAGTAGTAGACTGCAAAGTCATTTTGAACTGCAAGGTGAGTGGTTCAAACTCACCAGCTGCTCCTCAGAAACCCTACACAAGGTCACTATGAATCAGAATCGACTTGACAGCATTTAACAACAACAACAACAACATTTTTTTATTACTGACTTTTTTTAAGTTTATATTGTGAATTGAGTGATAGTTGATAGTTGACATGGGAGAACATTGGTTTTACACTCATCGTTTCATTGCAATGATTACAATCCCCTCTGTGCATCATCATTCAATAATATTTCCTTCTATTGCCTCTGTTTTTTGTTTTTGTTTTATTTGGGGGGTGGGGGATGTACACAAAACCACTTAGGAATATATAATCATTTAAACAACCAAAGGGCACATTCTGCAAGCCTGCCTCCTGACCACCAGCTTTCAGTCCCTCTCTTTCCATGAGTCTAGAGTCCTCAGCTGCTCCCTCTCTCCATGGCCCCATCTCTGCCTCCATCTCTGGTGTCACTCTTTCTCTGGATAGGGTTCCACATTCTGCTCATGCTCTTCTCCATTGATGGTCCTAGGATCTCTGTTCCTGGAATGTAAGATTAACTACTTCCCCCTTTTTATTACAAGACTTCCATCTTTGCAGTGCGACAGTCACAATTAGTCATGATAACAATTATTCACTATTGAATCATAAGAATCTTATCCCCATCTCCTTTCACCAGACTCATCTAGACAGGATGAAAACTATCCAGTGGGGACTCTACCTTCCCCCCGCATACTCTGAAACTAAACTCCCTCTTAAAAACTTGTAAGCCAATTGATTGGAATACCTAAAATGAGGCAACAATGTGCCCAGTGAAGAAGGCTTCCTGTGGAGCCTCTGCATTACATAAGAACATAGGTGGAATCCTGAACCCATCCAGAATTTTCTGAGGTGGGAATTTTCCACTTGAAAGGACAAGAAGACCAGTCTGGAGCGTCAAGAAGAACAGAAGAAACTTCTTGAAAGTATCTTCAGGATACTTTCAAGAAGACCAACAGGAAAAGTACAAAACAATAAAGGCAGTCTGACTCATTACTACGAGAACAAGCAAGTTACTCGCCCAGGAAACAGCAAGCCAAGTGGTCAGGTCCCCTCAGGGCAAACCTCCTTCCAAGACTAAGACTCAATGGGAATACACACTCTGATTGGTGACCACATTCATCACCAATAAGGGGAAGTGAAGGAAAAGCAGCAATGAAGCTGTGAGCTAAGCCCTACAACGTTCAATAGACTCCTGTGAACCCAGGTAGAGACCTGGTTGGCCAGCAATGTGACAAGACCTGGGGACTCTTGGGCCCAGAGTCAGTGACATAGCCACAGAGGACTAGAGTGGAGAGTGAAGCGTCCAACTGATAAGAAGAGAGGGCATATGCATAAAAACACCCACACTTGCAGATAATACCCACTTGACCTGGCTTCAATGACTGGATGATCAGAGCTCAACTAGAAGAAGAAAGGGGGGAAAAAAGAGTTATCTGATACAATTTGATTAACTTGACCTACACTTATGGATGCAATAGTACAAAAGAGGGAACAAATCTTTATAGCAAGCATCATTCCTACCCCCTCCATACACAGAGTAGACAGGGATGGGCAACTTGGACATTGGCTACCCAAAATGGGGGGATAGCCAATGCTTCAAAGGTAAAAAGTGACTGGCTTACAAGCTTTCAAGAGGGAGCCTAGATCCAGAGAGTGCGGAGGAAGGTAGAATCTCCACTGAGTAGTATCCAATCTGTCTGGGCGGGGCTGATGAAAGGAGATGCGGATGGGTCTCTTGTGATACAATAGTGAATAATTGTTATCAGGACTGACTGTGAGGGTTGTAAATGTTAAGATAGACATTTTGTAGCAAAAGGAGGGAAGTGATTGTCATTGCAGTCTAGGTGCGGAGGTCCCTGGGACCATGAAGGGAGAAGAGCGGACAGTGGAACCCTACCCAGAGAAGCAGTGATGCCCGAGATGGAGGCAGAGATGATGATGTGGAGAGATGGAGCTGCTGGGGACTTTAGATCCAGAGAGGGAAAGGGGCTGTGTGCTGATGACCGGTGGGGGGGGGGGGGGGGGAGGCAGGTGTGGTGCAGGCTTGCAGGGTATATACCCTTTGGTTGGTTGATGATGCATGGAGGGGATTGTAACCATGGCAATGAAATGATATACGATAGGATGAATGTAAAGCCAATGTTCTCCCATGTAAACTATCACATAATTCACAATAAAACATTAAAAAAAAAACAAAAAACAAACTTGTAAGCCAGTCACTTCATGCCTGTATAGCCCCCACCCCCACCTCATTTTAGGTAGCCAATGTCTAAGTTGCCCATCCCTATCTACCCTGTATACAGAGAGGATAAGATTGATACTTGATGTGAAGATTCCTTCCCTCTCAGTTGGTATTTTGAGCTACTACCTCCATAAGTTTAGGTCAAGTTCACCAAATTGTAGCAATTTACACTTGTTTCCTTTATAAAAAATTGTTTTTTATCTTCCTGTAGTCAAGTTCTGACCATCAATCCATCAAGGCTAGGTCGAATGAGTATTATCTACAAGTTTGGGTGTTCTTGTGCGTCTCCCCTAACAACAACAATCTTTATGGGAGCAGATGACTGGGTCTTTTCTTCTTGGGAACTCCTTGTTGTTGTTGTTAAGTGCCTTCGAGTCATTTCCAACCCATAACAACCCTGTGTAGGGTTTCCAAGGAGCAGCTGGTGAGCTTGAGCTGCCAACCTTGCAGTTCTAACTGACTTTGCTGTCCAGCACATTGGCCCACAGTGCCACACCAGAACTCCTAGGAGCCAGTTTTGTTGTTGTTGTTAAGTGCCATCAGTAGGTAGGTTCAAACCACCAACCTTGTGGTTAGCAGTCAGACTCTTAACCACTGTGCTACTAGGGTTCCTTGGGTTGAAGTAGTGAGCTAGATCCTTAAAACCTGGCATCCACCAGTTAGTCTGTACCTGTGAGCCCCAGGAGGGGGTGAGGCCTTGGGTGAGGTGGCTGTCTGGGTCCAGGACAATTCCTTAGGAGCTGATGCTGAAGGCTGCCTGCCAACCATGTTACATGCAGCTGGGGTAACAAGGTCGTCCCTGAAGTGGGTCTGGTGTCTTATCAATAGCCCCTACCTGTGTTCCACACAGGTACTATTTTGTTTTAATGAAATGTATTTTATTGTTTCCAATACATGACACCTGTGC